TACACAACTGCTGGTGTTAGGATTCCAGCCCAGTTTCTACAGGAGATGCAATCCTTCAACTAAGAAAATCAGCAGATTTGGTTTTCTTATTCCAGCAAACTGAGTCTGTTTGGTTTGTTATTTTAATTTGCTTTTGTTGTGTAGCAAAATATATTAGTAGGGCTGTTGGTAATACTCCTTTCAAAAAAAGAAGGAAGAGGACTATCATTATACTTGTGGTTGAAATGCTTTTGAAATTCTGAAGTCAGTCTGGCAGTAGAGATTTGATTTTGCTTGGAGCAACCTGGTCTAGTGGAAGGTGTCCCTGCCCGTGGCAGGGGGTTGGATCTGGATGAGCTTTAAGGTCCCTTCCAACCCAAACCAGTCTGGGATTCCATGATTCTATGAGATGGAAGACTTACCCGGAGGTAAATGGAGGCAAACCAACTCCAAAAGTAGGGCACTGTCATGAGGAAATCTTGCCACTAGATGTTGCTATCACTACAATGAGGGGAAGAGCTGAAACATGAAAGGCAAAGCCAAAAGTTCCGTGTGTAGACTTTTAACAAAGGAAATCGTCGAAATGGGAAATTCAGCTTTTAACTGATTCAGTGAGTTTCTGTTAGGAAAATGGGGCACCTACTGTCTTGCTGACTTTGCAAACCTAAACAGAAGGACACATAAGGACAAGAGCTTATGGAGTAAATTCACACCTGAAATCTTGATAGATCAAAAACATGGAAGAGAAGAACACAGGTGCTTATTGCTCCATCAAGCACCTCTAATTTGGCTGAATTAGGTGCTTGGGTTTTTTTGTTTTGTTTTTTTGGGAGGTTTTTTTGTTTGTGTTTTTTGGTTTGGTTTGGTTTTGTTTTAACTTCTTGTACTGTAGCAGAAGTGAGACTATCAAAGTGAAGGGACAGGAGTAAGAAAACACATAGAACTGGAAGCAGGACAAGTAAAGCCCCAAGTTATTGAAGTTGTTTGCACCTTTTGAGTTGCATTTTATTACTTTTTTTTTTTTTTACAAGGAAAGGTAGCACATGACTTCCAGTCAACATGTGGGCACCAAAATTCTTCCAGCAAACATGTCCTGGATTCTGTCAGTGCCCAAGAATAACTTGTGTCATCTGGACATGGTAGGAGGAAGTAAAGGAAGATGAGCCAAGCCAAACCTCATCACCAACTCAAAATTAGAGGGGTTTTAAGCCTAATAAAGAAGCATTGGAACTATGTGTGATACAACCCAAATCCTCTGTAATGGAGGGGAATCCACAGAACAGTGAACTCATGCAATAGATCATAGGATCACAGAACCACGAACTGGTTTGGGAATTTAAAGTTCACCGGTTCCAACCCCCAGCCACAGGCAGTGACACTTTCCACTAGACCAGGTTGCTCCAAGCCCTGTCCAACCTGGCCTTGAGCACTGCCAGGGATGGGGCAGCCACAGCTTCTCTGGGCAACCTGTGCCAGGGCCTCACCACCCTCACAGGGAAGAACTTCTGCCTAAGAGCTCATCTCAGTCTCCCCTCTGTCAGGTTAAAGCCATTCCCCCTTGTCCTGTCCCTACAGGCCCTTGTCCAAAGCCCCTCTCCAAAAATACAGCAGTCCATGTTTCTGCTTCATTACCAACACGTAAGAGTAAACATTAAAGCACTTGGCTAATCATATGAAGCCAACAATACGTGACTGCTGGATGCAGAAGAACGAACTTTACAAAGCCTTGGAAGAAATCAGCACTTGGCAGAGTGAGGCTGGCTGGAATCCACCAAAACTCAGTTCAGGATTTTGATTTTAATTGGATGCAAAGAAAAGAAGGGTTAGTTCATTTCCACTATCTGCCAAAATCTTCTCCAGCCTATGCTCAGCCTGCATTCTCTCCTGCTGTGATTTCTTGCCTGCCCCTGAAGTTGGAGTGTTGCTTGCTCAGAAGCAAAAACCATGAAGGCCAGACAATGCATTTTAAGGTAGTGTATTCCAAGAGAGAGACCCAACATCAGGGATTGCTTCTGGTGATGCAGATGAGTGCTGGTGAAATTTGCTTACAGGGATTCTTCTCTGTCTACAGCCTAATCCTTGGCAGCAACAAAGGGGGGGAAAGGAAGCACCTGAACAGTATCTCCCTCCATCTGCTGACAAGACGTATGTGCTGAACCCAGCAGTGTGCAGAGAAGCACACAGCCCAATCTCTTTAGACAGGGCTATCTCTTCCAGCATGCTGCATTAACAACACTACTGAAAAGTAATACTACAGGAAAACACGTTGTTTTCTAACAAGCTTGAGGAAAAAGAAGGTGTTCAAGGCAAGGCTCTGTAAATCCATTCTCTTTTCAAACCTGGCAGTAAACTCCTCTCTCACCTTAAGCTGAAATTCATCTTCAGTAGATGACAGTTACAGCAAGGTCTCAAGTGGTGAAGCAAAAGCTTCCTGTGGTGTGGTGTGTTTTAAGACCAATGAAGCCTACAGCATAAAGACAACACGTGTGACACCTTCATAACTCTTCCTGAGGAGTCAATACACAGCTAGTTTTGCAACTCTGAAGTTCAGGTATGTATTTTTTTTTTATTCTCGATGATAAGAACTTATCATTCTAAACACTTTGAAACCCTTTTAAAAGCCCATGTTACTAGAAATATGCACAGACATTCATACGCACACTGGTATTTAGAAGAGAGTGTTCTGGAGGAAATAACTAACCTCACAGTTCAGAGGAAAGAGCAGCCAGTTTTCCTTTGTGCTGGAGCTGAAATGTGATATAAATGTCCAAACAAATTCATTAAAGTAAATGGCAAAAAAAAAGTCACTGAAAAAGTTTTGCTGAAATTCATGGAATTTATGTTGATTACTTTACTATATTCAGCTCTAATTAACTAGCTCAACATTTACTGTTAGGAAAACAAGCATGCAATGTGACCGAAGGAACATTTCTTTTAGTAACCAAAACCAACCAACTGCAAACCTTCTGGCAGACCAGATGGGGGTTAAATTCTAACCTGATCATGCTGACACAAATGAGGGATTATGTAGGTAGCAATTTTATTCCAAAGCAAAGTGTATTTTGGCTTAGGTGAACATATAAAATCCATTCCTCTTGCTGATTCTTGTAACCAAGGGCAGGTACAAGCCAGCTCTCAGAAGCAGAAGTCCCCAGAAGCAATGGTCCTCAATACGTCTTTCCAGATTAGCAAGGGTGAACGACTGAACAGATTTACAAAACCGTTTGGAAATGAAGATTTTCTCTTTGGTAAGTTGCTAGATTTCAGATAATGTATGTAGCCAAAAACCTAATTTCACATCTAAGAATCCTCAATAGATTTGCAAAGTAAAATTACAACATAGGGCTTCAGTTAACTTGATTTTGATATAAAATAGGATTTTTGTACATAAACATTCTGTATAAAATATCCTATAAGTCATTAAGGCATTAAGGGAAATTAGATGCCTACCTCCCACTTAAACCATTGGAAAGTAGATATCTAAACAGGATTATATCTCCCCTTGATCCCAAATACTTACATTATCCTGTATTTGTTCCTCAATCCAAGCTTAGTGTATTTGTACCAACTAAGCTGAATTTTTGTCCAGCGGTATTTCTAGACAAGTTTCAGGGGAACATTGATCCTGAGGATGATACTGCTCCGTTACTTCATTGTTTTTAGTGTTAAATGGTTAAGACTTGTAGCAGGGCAGGGGAACTGTTTGCTTATCCATTTCACGCTCCCCATTATCTGACACCATTGTGTCTCAGTAACTGTGGTAACAAGGTCAAGGCACTGAAGAGGAATTTGGAGGGTAAGCAAGACAGAGACAGCTTCAGAAACTGGGAACAACTTTAGTGTGCAGCCCACTGAATGTATGGGCATACGATAGAGGCTGACTAGGAGTTAAGGGTGTGACAAAGCAGTATCTCACTGCATGCAGCCATCCGCTGGACAAGTGCCTAGAGTTGTTTCTGACAGAGGAAATCGTAAGCGTGGTACAACGTGCAATGCCCTGTTGAAATAATTCTTGATTTTGTTTACAAATGATAAAATAAGGTAGAAAGTACCTCCACGTAAAAGAAAAATATTTGTTTATGTCTACATACAAATCCCACTTTTCTTCTAATTCTTGGAAAAAAAAACAAACCCAAACCAAGAGAAGATTAAAGTGCAGTGGAAGACTGATGGAGTAGGAGAAAGTGACTGGAGTATATTCTCCCAGGCATATTTCATATTTGTCTTGCTTGTAATTATAAATCTGTGACACTTTCCAATGCACAGTGTCACATGGATGAGATGCTGACAGTCGGAGTTGAGCAATGTCACTTCACAGACTTCCAATAGGAAGACTTGCCTATGGTAAAGAAACCCAACTGGCCAAATCCTATTATGAATACTACTGCTATGCTGCAGTTCCTCCTTCCAAGACAGACATGGGAAGAGATGGTCTCCTATCAAACTATGCTTACAAATTTTGCACAGCAGCAGCTTAGCAGTTGAACCTTCTCAAGGTCTAACAACTATAACAGAAAATAATACTGAAAGTTGTTCTAGGCTTTTTTACTTTTTCTTTATCAAAAATAGCTCTTGCCCAGTATATGAGGACACTAAAATGAGCCTTTCAGCTGTAAATTATTCCAAAGCCACTCTGTATTCATGACTGAATTCTATTATCTACATTTTTTAAAAGTGGAATTTGCTCTGTATATTCAACCCTCAATGCAGTATCAAGTAACATCTGTGATGCTTTGGGAAATAAGCTTAACTGGTCCTTGGATACACTGATGCAGCATTCAGTACTGAGAGTTTATAGGGAACAACTCCTTCAATTCTGTCCACTTCCCTGATACTAAAGGCAGGAGAAGCTAATTCCAAACTTGCTTTAAATAAAGCTACCAGTACTAAGTTATACCAGAAATAAAGGTCCCAAGGGCTAGCCAGCACAGTGTGAGTGTGCCAATATGCTGGGTAGAGGCAGGAGGAGCTGATAAAGAGATAACTTGCAATGCTGGGCAGCTGAAAAGGGCTGATTGCTTTTACTCCTTTGTTCCACTGTACACAAATGAAGATCACATTGCAGGGATGAACACTTAACAGCTCTTAAAACTGCTGTTACCTGTCAGTTTTTTTGGTTTTCCTCCTGTGTAGGTCTCCCCTAAATTTGAAAATGGGCTGTGGATGGAGTTATCAAGCATATGTTACCAAGAGTGTTAAAAAAAGCAGTGTGGCTGCTGGCATGGTACATGAGTGGAAAGCCTCATTTTATAAATCTTACATGGAAAAATGGTTTTTCAGGTTGCTATGATCCAGAATGAGATAAATTACGTACTTTCATTATTAATTCCAAATGGCTGGCAAAAGAATTCTGCACCAAAGGAATTTTAAGGACTGCACTGTATTTCAATCCACTAATAACACACGATGTAAGTTAAAAATACGCATCCAAGCAAAATATCTGAAAACCCAGAATCCGAAACCCAACGACTTTCACATTTCCAGCTCTGATGTGGCTCTGTCATAGCTGAACTCTGTATGCAGTGACATATTGCTGAACATATAAAGTAAAATGTGTAATTCCACCTCCACCACTCAGGACTTGTGGTCTGGTTTATACTACAAATAAAATGGGATTGGGAAAGAATCCAAGAGGACTTGTGTGGAAGTTACTTCTAATCTGTTTTTCACTGATTGCACTACCATACAATGCCTACTTGTCCAAAAAATAAACAGCTGTCAGAGGAGGGTTGCATAAAGACTGCAGGATAGGGACTAAACCTGTGAACAACTACTAGTACAATGAGAAATACTAATTAACTACAACAGTAACTCCCACAGAGCATGGCAAAGCTTCCTTTGGATGCAGTGAAGCATGGAAAAGCCAGATGTTCTCATACAATAGCATCAGGCACCTTGAACTCTAGAACTGTACAAGCTTAATCAGATGTAGACTGTAAGTGCTCTGCTTGTCTACAATCCTGATGCTGTTTGTTCCCTGAAGCATGATGTACATGGAATATTCTCAAAAAAAAAAAAGAAGTATTAATCAGATTTGGGATTAGGATATTCTGTATGTGGTGTGGAACATGAGAGCGGTCCATGCATCATGTTGTGGTGGAGAAGGTGGTCCCTAGGTGAAATAGTCTCAGTCCATACATTGATCACCACAAGCGTAAACCACATCCTAAAAGTATTTTACTGTACGTATCCTCACAGATGCTGCAGGTTTTCTAGAGATACGATTTTTAGCAGGTAAATTTAGTAGATCCAAACCCAGCATGTCAGCTCTTGCTTGCTTGCACGTGTATGTCTTACCAAGGCCATAACCACAGAAAAACAGAGGTAGGAGATAATGAAATGTCTTCATTCATGGTAATGACTGTGAGGGGTCAAAGCAACTGCAAGGGGCTTCAGGTCTTGGTGGTGATTGAAAGTTGTCCCAACTGCAGCCAGCTCTTAGGTCTTCCACTGTAACCGGGCAAGTTCTCACCAGAGAAAGAGCCATGACAGTCATCTGTCCACACTGCACAGCTTAGCAGTGAGGAAGGATTCCTTTGTTTGATTTCATCCCTAGGACAGTCTGCAGTAGCTTTGCTATAGCTGACCACCATCTGTCTCAGTTCACAGGTCTGAAGTGATGACATCAAATGGGGAAAGAAAAACAACCAAAAGATCAAATTAAAATCGTTGTACAGATTTATGCTACCTGTGCCATATGCTGGAGAGACCCCCGTAAAATGCTTTTACACACCCGAAAAAGACCTCAAGACATTGAGGACTTTCTGACAGTTATGAAGGGCATCAGCAGTGTGCCAAGCACATCTCTCTCAGTGCAAATTTTCATTACAAAGTAAGTAGGGTAATAAGGCAGCATGTAAGCAAAATATCATAAGGTGAGTCCTAAATGAACTGAACCAAAAGCTCCAAAGGAGAACATAATGGTTTTGCCAGTTATCCATCTGATGTTTTTAATTTCATAGGAAGATGGGAGACAAAAAGGGTGATTTCATCTTACCTTTCAAATGAATCAGCATTTGTATTCTGCTCAGGTGCTAGTGTTGCATAACTCAGGGGCAGGTTTAGACCCACAACTGGGCCTACTGTACTGAGCCACAATATAATGTAATTTGTGTGTCTAGGGAAAAAAAAACAACCAAACAAAAAAGCACCATAAACATATTATCACAACCTTTTCTGCATTACAATCATAGGATAACTTGATATGAGGCTATTCCTTCACTTCATCTACAGCAAATGTTTTTTAACTGTCAGCCCTTTGGTGACAATATAGAATCGTACTCTACGTGGACCAAGAAAGTTGTTTTGACTGTTTCGACTTCCCAGCTAATTGACTTTACCTGCACTGCATAAAGTCTTGCAAGGCACAAAAGTGCTTCTCACCTGTTATGTTTCTGTGAACTGGTCAGTACAGAAGAGATGAATTCATTAGTCCGGCAAGGGTGTAGAACAAAGAATGGCTGCCCAAGTAGAGGGTGCTCCTAAAGGGCAAAGCAGGGTCCAATTAATCTTTGATGTAACTTTTCTCATTTCAGAATCTAACCCACATTGCTCTTCTACTGATAGTCATGACAAATTAATATTTGAGACCATATTCGTCTATCTTAGAAAGGAAATCAGATCAACAACCAGGCTATGCCACCATTTTAGCTAAAAAGTAACCGTTTGCAAAAGTAACTCAAGTTACTGTTACCACTATTACCTGACTACAAATAGGTAAAGCTACTGTATAAACGAGTATCTGATCAAATGTAATTAATATATAAATCTTCTGGGTTCAGCTGTAACAGTTATTTTTCTCCTTCCTAGTAGCTGGTACAGTGCTGTGTCGGCTTAAGTCTGAGAACAATGCTGATAACACACCGATGTTTTTAGTTGTTGCTCAGTAATGTTTACTCTGACCAAGGACTTTCTCAGTCTCATGCTCGTCTAGGAGGAGGGGAAGCCGGGAGGAAGCAGAGACAGGACACCTGACCCAAACTGGCCAAAGGGGTATTCCATACCACAGCACGTCATGCCCAGGATAGAAACTGCGGGGAGTCACCCAGAAGGGACTGCTGCTCAGGTTGGGCTTTAGTTTTATATTATACCTTAGTTACTGAACTGTTCTTATCTCAACACGTGGGATTTACATTCTTTCAATTCTCTTCTCCATCCGACCGGGAGCAGAGGGGGAAGAATGGGGGGAAGTGAGAGAGCAGCTGCATGGTTCTGAGTTACCGGCTGGGCTTAAACCACAACAAGAAAACAAACCCACTCCATGGAAAGCTCTTTAACAACCTTGACCCCTTATCCTTGTATCTTCTCATACTGGAGCCGCGGAGTAAACATGGTTTAATTTGAAGCCTTAGAGGTAAAGCAAGAAGAAGGAAGAGTCCTCGAGGTGGCTTTGACTTACACTACATGGCATATCCCCACTTTAGGCTATTCTACAGAAAAAAAGAAAAAAAGTCTTAAACCAGTTGTTCTTCAAATAGCCCAGTCAAAACCACCCTGAGGGAAACAAAAACCCCATGTAGTGACAGTTAAGTTTTAAGTCAGACACACTCCCTATGACATGATAAGACTCTGCCTGTTTTTCTGAGCTTCACACCACACACAGTACTGCTGAAAACTCAACCCAATGCTCAGTAAAGCCTTCACTTTCATGTCCAGCCAGCACTTGAACAGAATACATGTTCTGGCTTAACCAAGCTTGCAGTCAACGCATAGCCATAACAGTGATCTCATCAGCTCTTTCATGGGTGATGATACCACAAGACTAGCCTATCTGACTGTCTCACGTACCGTGCCCAGAGGAACTGATTTTCCTTTAATGCTGCTGAGCTTACTGCTAAGTATTTCTGCACCAAAATAAACAAAGATGCCCCATCCCTGGCAGTGCTCAAGGCCAAGTTGGACAGGGCTTGGAGCAACCTGGCCTAGTGGAAGGTGTCCCTGCCCGTGGCAGGGGGTTGGAACTGGATGAACTTTAAGGTCCTTTCCAACCCTAATCACTCTGTGATTCTAGGATCCTCACATGCAGTAAGAGGCATAACAGCACAGCAGGGAATGGCTAGAAAGGTATTCCAGACAAGAAAGATGTCAAATACAAAATGCCACAACAGCCTGTTAACAGCCAAGCATGGACCATGTTTTTAGATGCTGCTAAGCCCAGGACTTTGCTGGAACTGAGAAGCACACAACGCAAGGCAGTGGGGTGGGGAGAAGCAGGGATGGACAATGATGGAGTAAACCACAGAATCACCACCTCTGCACAGTGTCCATTCAGCCATGTGAACCTTGTCCACTGTGCTCTGCTACTCACCAAAGCCACAGCAGAGACTGACTATGAGGATTAATGTGATGGGTGTTTTATCCTGGGAAAAGACCCCTTCCCTTAGATGTGCTTCTTGTGTGGCTCTGTTTCTCAACAGTAAAGAAGACACACTAACTGGATGCTGCAACACAGCCTAGAAACAAACCAAAATCCTATCCTGTCATGTTCAGCAAAAAGACATGTCGTGGTTTAAGCCCAGCCGGTAACTCAGAACCACGCAGCCGCTCGCTCACTGCCCTGTGTTCTTCCTCCCTCTGCTCCCAGAGGAATGGGGAAGAGAATCAAAAGAATGTAACTCCCACGGGTTGAGATAAGAGCACTCCAGTAACTAAGGTATAATACAAACCACTACTGCTACCACCAATAATGATAATGAGAAGGGAAATAACAAGGGGAGAGGACACAACCGCTCACCACCCGCCAACCAATACCCAGCCTGACCCCAGCAGCGATCTGGGCCTTCCGGGTAACTCCCCCCAGTTTATATACTGGGCATGACGTGCTGTGGTATGGAATAGCCCTTTGGCCAGTTTGGGTCAGGTGTCCTGTCTCTGCTTCCTCCCGGATTCCCCTCCTCTCTGGCAGAGCATGAGACTGAGGAAGTCCTTGGTCGGGGTAAACATTACTGAGCAACAACTAAAAACATTGGTGTTATCAGCGTTGTTCTTGGACTAAAGTCGAAAACACAGCCCTGCACCAGCTACTAAGAAGGAGAAAAATGACTGTTACAGCTGAACCCAGGACACATGTTCTATATAGTATCAAACAGGGTCTCTTACAGCTGAAGGATGCCTGGTTGCTACATTGAATATGCACTCATGAGGATCAATCATCTTACATCTAAGACAACTTTAAAACACCTCCAGAAGCTTCAGAATACAAAAAAAGTAATACACAGAAAGCTTTGTTTTACAATGTGGTGCAAGCAGATTAAAGTTGTTCAAGAATGCTACCATCTGCTGTTGGTAAAAGTGAACTGATGCTGTTTTCCATTGACAAAAAAGTGGCAGTTTGAATTAAAACCCCTTTCTTTTTACCTGATAGCTTACATCATGTCTCCTAATAATTCTAAAAAATATATGAAATGTGCCAATGGTATTCCTAAAGACAGCAAAAAAAGATAGTTAATGTTTAAAAAACTACTAACAAAAAAATAAAAAAGTAGATTGGGCAGCAATTTCAGCCAACTCCCTTCCTTACATAAAGAGTGTAAAGAGGTAGCACACATTCCTAAAAAGAAGAGAGAAGATAATCTGGTCTTTAAGTGATTTAGCACTTACAACAAGGGATAAAGAGAATTCCCAAAGCTGAATAATCAGCCTGAAGTTGTTCCCAATTACCCTGTTACCAGGTTATTTGATTCTGTCCTGCACTTCTTTCTTCAGCAAGCCACCAGTGAGTGACAAATGGAGGCCAGATTTGATCTTTTAAACAGCTTATTAACTTTGCATGCTACATCTTTCTTTTTTTTGTCATAGAATCACCGCCAGGGATGGGGCAGCCACAGCTTCTCTGGGCAACCTGTGCCAGGGCCTCAGCACCCTCACAGGGAAGAACTTCTGCCCAAGAGCTCATCTCAATCTCCTCTCTGTCAGGTTAAAGCCATTCCCTCTGCCCTGTCCCTATAGGCCCTTGTCCAAAGCCCCTCTCCAGGTTTCTTATAGCCCCTTTAGGCACTGGAGCTGCTCTAAGGTCTCCCCTTCTCTTCCCCAGGCTGAACCAGCCCAGCTCTCTCAGCCTGTCTCCAGAGCAGAGCTGCTCCAGCCCTCGCAGCATATCCGGGGCCTCCTCTGGACGCGCGCCAACAGCTCCATGTCCCTCGTGCATTGTTGCCCCAGAGCTGGATCAGGACTGCAGGGGGGGTCTCCCCAGAGCACAGCAGAGGGGGAGAATCCCCTCCCTCGACCTGCTGCTCACGCTCTGGGGGTGAAGCCCAGGACATGGGTGGTTTCTGGGCTGCGAGCACACACTGGTAGGTCACGTCCTTCCTCTTCTTAGAACATGACAGAGTAGCACTGAAGAAACTCCCAAACTTTAACCATTAAATGCCCATATGAAAAAGCAGAGTGCATTGGTACTCAGTTTTCGAAAAGGGTAAAAATCCTTGGTCCCATCATCTTCAGCATCTATCTGTGACTTACAAACATGTGATAGAGATGAAATCTGTTCACACTCTGAATTCACTGCAATCCCTTCTCCATTCTTCTTGAATGGATGGCATTCATTCCATGGGCAGAATCCCCTCTGGATCTACAAGATGTAAAGGGAAAGGATTCTGCTACGGGACCCAGCCATCAGCTTCTAGCTCGATATGAAAGCTCTGAGGATACTTGGTCCTGGTTAACCAAACCCTCTTCCTAGCTTGTCTCTTTGTTCTTTGAATTACCCAGGGGTGCTTCATACACATCCTGAAGTAACAGCTGTGGCAGAGTAGTGCGAATCTCACTATAATCCACAGAATTTTGAACAGCAACAAATGACCCAGGGGTTTAATTAATCTTGTGCTGCTCCTCGGCCGGGCTCTGAGAATGGCATGTGCACTAAAGCAGCATGTCTACACATTCAGGAGGAGCTACTTTGGCTTCCATTTGCAGGGTATTTTTGAAAACTGAGCACTGCCACTTATTTGTTTACCTCTAATCCAGGAAACTGAAGTTCATTATTGTACAGACCCTTCAGCACTCAAAGTCCAAAAAATGTCATGCAAAAGAGCTGTGTCCAAAGCCGGACTTTTTCAATCAGCTTGCTGCATGTATTTCTCTTACCCTAAACAAAAGGCATGAAACTGAAAGAATGCCATGCTGTTTATTCAAAATCTGAAAGATAGGAATATATCACATACTAATAGGAAAAACAGAAAAGCACAAGAGATTAAAAGAAATCCTGAGCCAAGACCCATTAAGCGGGAGCCTCTAGAAAGGGAAAAGGCTGAGGCATGGAAGAAGAGCTGTTGAGCATCAGGGAAAACACTGAGAACATCAGATCTGATTCAGTCAAATCCCAAATTCTAAATCCTGTACATAACGGCATCCCCATGAGGCTTTAATGTATACTCAAGATAAAATCACTGACACACCAGCTCTGAGGAGGAAGTAACAGAGAGCTGCCAATAAAAATGCAAGAGTTATCAAAGCTCTGAATTATTTCAGAATTGGTAATGGG